TGCCACTTACTCACTCAGAACCTTGGACAAGATATTCAACCTCTTAGAGCCCTCCATCTCCTCGTCAGTACATCAGGACAAAATCACTCCACACAGGGTTGGTAACAACACTGACAGGCACGTGGAAGTGCTTGAAGCCACATACAAATGTGGGATTGTTAATGAGCTCCAACCACGTGCCATGCACTGTCAGAGACAGAAAAATCAATAGAACACAGTCTCTGCCCTCAAGGAATTTACAGTCTAGTAGAGGAGAAAGACAGGAATGTCCTCTGGTATAAAACAAGACCGATGGTGGTGGGTCCTGTAATGAAAAACCTGTTGAAGTGGAAAGAAGCATTTAATTTTGACTCTAGAGGGAATGGGTTTCTTGAAATTCATGGTTCTGAGCATGGAGGAAGACGGGGGCAAGGGGAGGGGTGGACACAAGGTTGGTGGAGGGTTAAAAGGAGAAAAATAAATAGATAAATTGGAAAGAAGAGCATTCCAGGAAAATTGCATCAGCAGAAAGTAGAGCACTGGAGGAGTGGAGGCTGGAGGACCCAGGGTTTGCTCTGGAAAAGGAAATCTTTCAGCGAGTCCGCACACCGGGTGTGCGTGAGTGTGTTAAGGTGGGAGGGGCCAGGAGACGCTTACAAAAACACTCTGCGAGGGGTGAGCTGGGTGCCTGTCCCACCACCGAGGGACCCTACCCGGGGCCCTCCAGTCAACGCCCACAGCCCCGCCCAAGCTCAGCGGCAGGTCCGTCTGTCGCCTGCTCACCATCTCCTGCGCCACCTCCTCTGCGGCGTCCCGGCCCAGCTGGAACAGGAACTCTATGGCCTGGTTGTCCCGTGGGCGCCCCCCACGCCGCGCGTCCTCCATGCGCAGCCAGAGCTTCAGGCCGGGCTTCTCCCCGTCGTCCTCCTCCGCTAGCTCCACGTGCACGCCGCGCTCCTCGCGGAAGAAGGCGTGAGCCAGGAGGTCCTGGATGGTGAACCTGAGGGCGGCGCCGGTGAGCCGAGCCTGGCCGCCGCCCGCCTCCAAGCCTCCCCCAACACCCACCCTGCGCCCCTCCACCCCACCTCTCGTTCTTATCGGTGCGGATGCAGCCTTCGATGATCTCCTTCACCTCGGGAATCTTCACCTTGTAGAAGCTGTTCGGCTTTGTGCCCTGGAGGAAAGAGGTTTGCATGAGGCCTCCGGACCTCTGCGCCCCAGCTCTCTGCTTCCCCCCTCACACCCCACCCGAGGCAACAGAGCGTGCAATCGTCAAAGCCCCGCCACAGCTACTAGACGGTTCGATTTCAAATCCCCGTCCCCCCACGTATCGACAGTATGACCTTGAACAGGTCTCCCTGAGCCAGTTTTCCCGTTTGTAAAGCGCAGGGCACAGCCGAGGCCCTCCCTGCTCACCCTCTGCATGAAAGATCAGATGTGAAACCGTTTGTAAACTCTAGGGATCGCTACACACATCATTATTCTAAACAGCTAGTACTGGGGAGGGGGGCCGGGTGGGGTGTGGGGGTGGGGGAAGCGTGTGTGCATCCGCTATACTTCGGTGTTTACCAGAGCATCTTCGCGTCTAGCCTGTTTTCTTTAAGGGAAACGGCATTGACCACAGACTGACTGGGGCAGGCAAATGGGAGGTGACCTGGAATTCTCTGTCCTCCCCACCCCCTCTCACCGAAGTGACCTTGCGGTAGATCTGCGCGGCATTCTGGCACTCGGAGTAAGGGTACTCTGAGGTGGCCATCTCCAGCATACACATGCCAAATGCGTACACGTCCACCGCCTCATCGTACTTTTCCTCGTACATCTCAGGGGCCATGAACTCCGGAGTCCCTGTAGGATCCACAGTGGGCATCAGGCTACGGAGCCTTCCTCTGGCTTCCTCTCTCCTCTTGGGCTACCATCAGCTAGCCAGGGGGTGCGGGAAGGCGCAAATCCCACCCCACCCAACCCCGAGTTCTGGAATACTAGTAAGGACCCTTCCCCACTCTGTGTGTATTGGGGGGGGGGGAGTTGGAGAGGATGCCATAGGACTCCCCATGTTCCCCATGCTCTTCTAATTCCATGCAACTCAAAGGGCCTTTCTGGGAAGAGAGGGTCCCCGGGGTCTCTTCTGACGTTGTTGAGGAGGGGGAAATTGGGGAGGGGAGAGGTACGAATAGCAAGGACCTCCTGGAGGGACGCACCGATCACGCTCTTGGCAAAGGAAGCGCGTTTGAGCGTGGCCAGGCCCAGGTCGCCAATCTTGACCGAACCTGAAGGGCCCGTGATAAAGACGTTGTCACACTTGAGATCCCGGTGCAGAATGGGGGGTACCCGGGAGTGTAGGAAATGAAGCCCCCGAAGGATCTGGCGGCTCCAGCGCTGAAGGACTCGTGGCTTCATCTCCCGGAACCGCCTCAGGTATCTGGGGGAAAGGCACGTTGCCAAGGTCGCGTCGGGAACACGGAGGCGGAGGCGGGGGAGCGGACCCCGGCTGGGAACTTCCCCGGCTCCCACGGGCACTACCGCCTACACATCTTCTGCCAGCAGTATTCTAGCTCAGGTCCTCGCTGCGTTCCAGGGAGAAACTGAGTCGGGGGCGTGGTGGCTAGACGTGAGAGTACAAAAGGGATCCGGTGGTGAACTTGTAGATAGGGCAGCGCCGAAGGGGCTGGGGAGCGTGGGAAGAGATGACTAACCACCTTGGGCATGGGGGAAGGCTTCAGAGTAGAAATAACTTTTGTTTCCTCTTGAAGGATGAGTAGGGGTTCAAGGGTGAAAAGGGGAAGGGATGGAGACTTTCCAGGCGGAGGGGACACTGGACTCAAAGGCACGGAGACTGCAACAGGGTGGGGTGGGAGGAGGTGCTGGGAATTCAGTTCCTGTGGAACCTAGGCTCAAGATGAGGCTAGATCCTAAGGAATCTGGGCATAGGCAGAGTGTGGACCTTAACCTGAGAGTGGTGGGAAGCCTTGAAGGAATAGAGAGATTCCCCAGACTGTAGGAAGATAGGGTAGGTTGGAAAGGTGAGGGCAGAGTGGGGGAAGGCCTTTGAGGGCGCTGCGGCAGGTCTCCAAACCAGTGAGTGCCAGTGGATGGAACTGGGAAGGCAGAATGGGGAATTATAAGGAGGCCTTGGAGACAGACTGGTGGGGGAAGACAGATGCACAGAGTGGAGATAAAGGAGGCATCTGGGGAGATCGAATTTTGGCTGCAATCATGGGTGGACACTGCCACTCACCCAGGCAGAGACGCAGTAGGGGTGGGTGAGAGGTAGTGAACCCGGTCTGGAACCTACATCTAGAGTTTGAGGAGCCTGGGAGAAGTTCCAGAAGCGGTGGGGACCTCCCACCAACAGCTCTCCCACCAACCAACACTACCACCAGGCACAGAGCTCACGTCTTGAGGGTGCCGGAGGTCATGAGTTCGGTCACCAGCACGATGCAAACCTGGCCCCTCAGCACTGACTTCCATGAGTCATAGAAGCGGACGATGTTGGGGTGCTGCAGCCCCTTGAGCATCTCCACTTCCTCGGAGAATCGCTGTCGCTCGGTTCGAGACAGTTTCCGAGTCTGTGGGGTAGGGGATGGGGGTCAAGGTCACAACAGGCCCAGGACTCCCACGGAGAGGAGGAAGGGACACATGGGGAGGAGCTGAGGAGCAGTGAGGGTTGGAGCCCACAGATGAGGCTAGGTCATCACTTGCCCAACGGGCTCTATACCCTGAATTCTCAATCGGCTGCTGCAAGGACACGCCCATCCTGGGCCTGGGGCCACCCTTGGACCCCCTGCTGGACACAAGGGCCTTTATGCAGCCCGGTCCAGGAGTCCTGAGCTCAATAGCGCCTTTGTGGCCTCCCAGGCCAGCCGTGGGGCGGGAGGGGACGCCCGGGGGCTGGCAGTGGGCAGGCAGCAGGCAGGCAGCAGGCTGACAGCGGGCAGAGAATTGGGGCCTTCAAGGGGGTTGGCCCCAGAAACTGGGAACTGCTAGATCCAGACAGGAGGCAGGAGGGCTGCAGAGGGAGTTACAGAGAAAGATCCAGGACCAGGCGCCAGAAGACCGCCCCCTGCCCCATGGCTGTCCCGCCCACCTCTCATCCCCCACCCCCCATTTGGCTGCCTTTCCGTTCCTGGCCTAGAGCCTAGGGAGTGGCACTGGCAGGCGCAAGGGGCGAGTCCAGTGCCAGGGCTGGAGGGGAGGACCCTTACCCAGGCTTTGCCCCCCAGTTTGAACCCAAAGCTTTTGGCCCAGACTTAACTGGGTTCTTCCCTCAGAGGAAAGAAGGTCCATCACACCAACATCCCCCTAGAGCCCACTGGGTTCAGTGCCTTTGGGTCTGGGAAGAGAAAGCCCAGGTAGACGGTGAGATGAAGAGCAGGACTGGACTCAGGCCAGGGCTGGAGCACTCTGTCTCCCCCTCCCCCAGCTGTGGAGAAATCTAGAAGTCTGACTGCTCCCGAAGGGGCCTGGGAGGGCTGCCGCATCCTGCCACCACCACTCTAAATCTTCTGCAAGTGGAGAGGATCCTGCCCCAGCTCCAAGCCTCCATCATCCCAGCCTCCCACTCGGCAAACATCCAGGGTGAAGGAGGAGGAGGACCAGGGTCATACTGAGGGTCTCAAGACTAAGAGGAAAGGGAAGGGGAGAGAGAGTAACCACTGCAGAAGACTGGTGAGGCCAGTCACCCCTCAGACCTGAACTGACTCCCTAACCGATTCTGCATCCTATCTTTCAACTCTCAGAGTTGAGTATAGAGACTTTAAAGTTAGAACGTCCAAAACCCATAGGGGAGCCACCCTATGCCTCTGCCTAGTTTATCCTTCTGCAGCCCAGAATCAGCCAGATCCATTGATCATCAGAGCAACGGGGAGTGGGCAGGAGTGTCCCGACCTTTGACAGGAAAGATAGATCTCTCCCTTGCTGCTGTCCCCTAGATTTCTCATCCCCAAACCTCCACAGGGTCCCATCCCGAGGTGCCACAGAGGGGCGCCCAGCCGCACCTGCAGCTCACACCAGGCCACCTCCACCGTGGTGTCGGTGTCCAGCCCTCGATACACCGTCTTGAACGAGCCACGTCCAATCTCGATGTCAAACTTGAGGTATCGGCCGTCTGGGGACGTTGCCACGGCCTGGGTCTCCGTATCCTCCTTTTCCTCCTGCTCCCGCTGCCGCTCCCGAGCCGCGGCTTCGGGGACTGTCGGCGGATCCCGGGACCCCGAGCCTCCTGCAGAACCCGTGAGCTCTGGACGCGCGGAGTCTGCAGCCTTCACGGGGGCTCCCCCGGTCCACGTGCCCTCGGGGGGCTCTGGACAACTAGGCGGTGGGCTCCTTGCGGGGCCAGGACCAGCAGAGTCCGGAGGAGCGGGGGTCTCCGGAACGGGTGAGGCTGGCTGGGACCAAGAGCTCAGCAGCCCCAAGTCGACTGAGCTGCGGCGGCTGAGACGGGAAGAGCGCGGCCGGGGCTCAGCCTTCCCGGAGAAGCGGCGCACCCGGCGCGGAGGGGGCCCAAGGCGGGGCGGACCGGCGGCGGCGGCGAGAGGCGGCGGGGGCCGCAGGGCTAGGTCGGCCTCCGCCTGGGACATGGGGATCGCAGTCTCGGGGGTCGGGGGTGCCAGCATGAGGAAAGGCCGGCGCCGCAAGGCAGTTAGCTGGGCGGCTGGAGGAGGCGGCCTGACAGGAAGACTGGCCCGGTGCGCGGTGCTCCGGCTGAGCTCCCGGGGCCCCCAGTCCCGGGCTCGCCCTCCCCGCAGCCCCGCCCCCGGTCCCGCCCCCAGCCCCACCGCCCCCAGGGCCGCCCCCTCCCAGCGGCCCGCGGCGCGCTGAGCGGGGCGCGCAGCCCCTCACCTCAGCCGCCCCGCCCCCGGCCGCAGGCCCTCCCGGCCTCCCCGCCTCCCTGCGCGCCCTCCTACAGGCTCATTCCGTGACTGACCGGGTGCGAGACGGAGGTGTGTCCGCTCGCACTAAGTGCGCAAACCTGCTTGGGGGCGGGGGAGGCACGAAGCTGGGTCTGGGAGAGGAAACGTGACCGCGGCTCTCCGGCTCTAAAGAGGGGGCAGGTTCAAGGGAAGGTTACCACCCGCCTGCACGCCCCAGATAAGGTAGCGCCACCCTCTCCTGTTTGTCCGGGGTAGCCCCAGGCCGACAAAACAGAGGTCAGTGGAAAGGTTTGGTTTTCTCCCAAGCTGCTGTCCCTCTGGGCGGCACAGGGATGGGTGTGTGCACCCCAGGGCAAGCCCCTCCCCCAAGCCAGGGACCCGGTCACCCATCCCCTCCACCTCCTACCTTGGCCGCAGCCTGGTCCTGGCCGCAGTAGCCGTTTTTGCTACGTGGGCCCTCCTTCCTCCTCCTTCTGTTTGCCAAAGTTCCCAATAAACCAAAGTCCATATCCGGTCTACACCTCTTCAGCTCCCCTCGGCCTCAACGACCCCACCCAGACCAGAAGGATGGAGGGAGGGGCTTCAGAGTGGTTCAGGGCTTTCATGGGGTGGGGGAGACGGGAGGGAAGGGGAAGCCACTAAGTTACTCCAATTCAGAGAAAGCAAGCAGTCTGTCCCCAAGCTGTGTTCCATCAGCACTCCCCCACACAGCCCACCCAGCAGATGTAAAACCACAGGCGCACTGGAGCCTGCCAGCACTGGAGGACCTTTTCATTTACAAAGGCCATAGACCTCTTCCCTCTCCTAGGCTGGGATTGACTCAGGGGGCAATGCTTCACAGCCCTCCCCATGCCCATTCCAGTAGTAACTTCCAACGGCAGGCAGGCAAGTGGGGTTGAGTTTTTTAATATCGTAAATCACATAAATCAGTGTCCAGCCTGGCCTCTCACTGCCAGGCCCCTTCCTGGGCCTCCTATCTTCATATTGCCGGGAAGGCTGCCTGCAGCCAGGGCTTCTCCCATCCCCTAGGAAGGATCCAGCACCAGCCTGAGAGGGGAGGCAATAGCAGCTAAGGGGGTGGAGAAGGGGGAGGGACAGAAGCTTGTGCACGCGCATGTGTGTATGTACTTACGTGTGTGAACACATGTGGAGTTAAAGGTTTACAGACCCTGCCTGGCTTGGGGACAGTCGAGGATGGGAGAGGAGGTAGGGCAAAGTGAAGCACATCATTTGTTTCCCTGGCGCCTCAGCCTCACCCTTCCTCAGGGACAGACGCACCGGGTAATTGGGAAACCCATCCCTGGACTGGAGCCCTTTTGAGTCTGGTGGAGTCACAGATCCAGTCTGTGGGGTCACTGGGTCTGTCTCCTTTTGAAAGCCCTGGAAGGGTGGGAGGTAAGAAGTAAAAGGAGACAGGTCTCCGCTAGAAGAACTTGACGCCCCGGCCATCGCTGACGGTGATGATCTCAGCCTTGTGCTCCTGCTGTAGGGCCTGCAGAGCCCGAAGTAGGGTTGCTTCGTCCAGCCCATGAAACTCTGGATAGGGAGAGATGGGGATTAGGGACACTCTGCTTCTGCGGGCTCAAGGCCCCTGAGGAGCAGAGTCTAGCTGGAAGCTGAGACCCTGAAGCCAGGGGAGACATGTGCCATCGATACTGCTGTGGCTGCTGCCAACCCCTCCTGCAAACTCCTTAGAGTAAGGGCTGAAAGCAAGCCTGAGTCAGCATGAAATGAGAATTCAGGCTTATTCTCCCCGTCCAGGTTCTTCTGTCAGACTCAACCCTCACATGTATCCCCCACCCCTGCGCCATGAGTGTCTGATGTACAAGAATGGCACTACCTGCTTGTGGACCACAGAGTGGGGGACACTGAAGCCTAGGAAGGTCAAGGTCCTTGTCACTGGATTCTGACCCTAGTTGGACCCATCAGGGTCCAACCCTAGTGCTGCCATCAGGAGCACCTGTCCCAACACAAAGAAGTGTAGCCATACCTCTGACCAGGAGACTGTTAAGATCCAGCACAGGTATCTGCCCTTACCTAGTTAAAAGGAACAAAGCTGGGAGCCAAGGGCCAGCTGAGTATGTGAAGATATGGCAAGATACTGCAGAGAGAGGTGAGAAGCAGGTGGCAAGCCCGAACAGGTTCGCACACCTCACCCCCCTACGGGGGCCTACCTCTTGAGTCAGGGAGCTTGCTTTCTGAGGAAGCCTTTAGCTTTGCCCAGCATGAGTGGTGGGCTGGGCAAGGCTGCAGCACTGAAGTCATGGGGTGATGGTGGGAGTAGCAAGCAGAGGCCTGCAGGGCAGGGGGGAACAGCCAAGAGCTGTAAACTCTGTTATGGCAGCCAGGGCCTGGCACAAAGGGAAGGTGCCCTTTTTTCCCCAGCTGAGATTGGAACTTTTGGTGAGCCTGGGGATCAGAATGTGAAACCAGAGATAAAAGAGCTAAGAATATATTTACACTATATAAATATCAAACAGTATACAAATCCTTGCCCTGGCCAGAAACCAAAGTATTTAAAAGGCCTGGGGGTGGGGATGGGGGTGTTGGCCCAATCCCTTCAGCTGACGCCCACAAATCCTGAGCCCTCTATAAGTATAAAGGGTGAAAGAAAGGCCTGTGTCAGCAAGGAATGAGATCTTCAGCTTAATCTCCTGCCCCGGTTCCTCATTCAGCATCTACACCAGTAATTCTTAACTTTTCATGGGTCACAGATACCCTTGAAAATCTTTGAATACGGACTCTACCCCTAGAATAATGCACATACAGCCCCATAGACAAAATTTGGGGGTATGATGCATATAAATTCAGGTAGTTTAGGGAAACCTTGGACATGTATCATGCAGTATTTGGAATTCAGAGGCAGGGATGGGAAGTCTGACTGTCAAACAAGGACCGGAGAGGCTTCAGATCACAAAACTGGGGGGAAAGGGAGAAGCGTTACCCTCATTCTCTGTGTCGTCCCCATTGGTCAGTTCGTACAGGGTAAACACGGAGTTGTTCTGGCCACTCCTGGAAACCTATGGACACAGAAAATGGGGGTTGAATAAGGACCTGAAATCCCGGGGAGAAGGTGAGCTCACCAGCTCCACCTATCTGACCCAGGAATGGTACCTATTTCCAAACCAGGGCTCACTGTCACCTCGGCAGGAGTGGCCTAAACACCGCAAACCCCACAGGTGCTATATTTATACATGTACGCACATACACGGAACCACTAAAACCACAGGTCTTCACATGTCTGAGCAGTGACCTCTCATTCTGTTTTCCTGGTCAGGAATAGGTGGCATGAGTTTGTTATATTTGGGTTGTTGATGCTTCTTCCCCTCTTCTCTCCCTTGGGAAAGTTTAGGGCTGGTAGTGGCTGTGAATGTGGGGGGAGAGTTTGTCCCCACACCCATACTGGTTCAGAATGTCTCATTCATACGGTGGACAGCCCCAAAGGGTACAGAGGGGGAGGGGCCCCAGGCTTTTTTTTTTTTTTTTTCTCTTCCTTCCCTTCCTTTCCTCATTTATCTTCTGTGGCCAGAGACTCCAGCCAACAATAGCACTCATGGTTCCAGCACTGCATTCTCCAAACATGGCCTCATGTAGCCTCTGGCCTCCTGCAGTCAAAGGCAGGGAAGTTCTACACAGCCAGGGAAATTGAGTCACTGAAAGAGGCATGCCTGAAGACCTATACTTCCTCTTTCTGCCCCCGCCCACTTTGCTCAGTCTAGACCTGGGAACACCAGGTATCTGCTGAACACAGATACAATTCTCTGCCATGGGTCACTATGGTGGAGTAGTCTCACCCACTGATAGATGAGCTTCCCCCATTCTTCTGGCCTTCGCCACATGATCAGGAAGCTAGACTTGTTCTTATCCAACCACTCCAGGTTCCCTGCAAAAAAGATACTTATGAAAGCATCTTATGCTAAGAAGGGACAGAAGGCAAAACCACGGTAGAACACAGTGGAAAAGACCCAGCTCTCAGGAACTGAAATCTGTTTTATTACTATCTGCAAGGCACCAATTCTCTTCCTATCTCTCTCCAGGTCTCAGGACACAGATGGAGAGATTTCAGTGGTGAATACCAACAGGGAAAAAAGACCCGGGAATTGGACTACCTATTATACAGAACACTATGGGTTCCAAGCCAGGGGAGAGAAAAAAGTTGTTAAAAGCAAAGACTTGTGGGGCACCTGGCTGGCACAGCTGGTGGAGTGGGTGACTCTTGATCTCAAGGTTGTGGGTTAGAGCCCCTCATAGGCTATACAGATTACTTAAAAATAAAATCTTAAAAAAAAAAAAAAAGACAAAGTCTTATGGCAATCTGCCCTCAGGAAAAGCCAAGTAGGAGGAAAAATAAGGAAATCTGAGGCCCTGAACCCACCTTTCTTCCTTAGTTCCTCTAATACAACCTGAATTGATTCCACGGGAAGCTTGCCTGGTTTGAAGTTAAGGGAAGGGCACTGATGGACTGAGTTGGGTAGGATAAAAATTCTCAGGGCCAATGTCATGTTGAGAACCACTTGTCCCCTTCCTCTCCCTCCCACACACATATATGTGCAGTTCCCCAACAGGCTATAAATTGGCATTTCCTGGATATTGGGAGGAGGAAGGCAAAGAGCAACTAGTTCAATTAAAGGGAATAGCTTTAAAAATGAACGGTACTACCATCTGTCACCCTCTGTCCTTTCTCCTTCCTTGAGACTTTCTCCACAGATATTTCAGGTATGAATCAGGCAGCAAAAACAAATGCCCTTTACTTCCCGGGAGGAAGAGAGTAGGTGGAGAAAATTACCAAAGGTAATACCAGAGCTTGAGCTTCACTCAGAAGAGGACAGGAGATTCACAGTCCAAAGGGCTTGGGTTGAAAAGCTTGGGACCCGGCTTCAGGGCAGAGACTATGGCACCCAGGCCCTTGTCACTAGCCAGGACAAGGGGGTTTGAGGCTGCATTTGCGTTGGGGTTTGGGGATAAAATGGAAGTCAGCTATAAGAAACACACCGGCTCTTTCCCAAGTCCAGTTTGGGTGGGAACCTGCCTACTGTGGGTGAAAGAGGGTATGAAGTCTGGGCATGTGGGAAAGCGTGGAAGTGCATGTGTGTGGGCTGTGGAAGAGCCTGAGGGAGGATACGCTGTAGCTTCACGTTGTTGAAGAGCGGGCTCTCCTGAGCTTCCATCACCGTCATGCTGGATTGTTTGTGCAGGCGGCAGAAGGACAGGACCAGCGAGCACCAGGCGGCCAGCTGCTTCTGCCGAGTGTCCACGTTCGGCTGCAACCTGCCGGGTGAAGGGGGTGGGGCGCAGAATTAGAGGGAGTGAGAGAGCGAGAGGCAGCACTTGCCGGAGGCGCGTCTGGGGGACAAAGTAGGGGACTGGGAGTGGTGGCGACCGGGTCCTTTCTCCCCCTCCCCATTTGAAGCATCAGGGCTGAGCCCAGGGTCTGGGGCAGGGGAGGGAGGCACAGCGGGGCTTCTCGGGGTCTGAGCCTCACGTAAAGAAGGGCGGGAAGCGATACTGCCACGGCCACTCGAAACTCATCGCCATTGTAGTAGCCCAGGAAACCCGGAACGTCCGGGCAAAGGACTTCCGGCCTCCGCTTTGGCACGTCCGGGCAAAAGGCACAGCAGAAAGGTTCCGGACGCCTCTTCGGAGAGGGACGGCCCAACGGAAGGGGTCTCGCTGATCCCCCAGTCCCTTGCCGTTATCCTAAAAGTTCTTACCGTTTAGAGCCCCAAGAAGTCTTCTCATTCAGTTCTAGAGAAGGGCAGTGACTTCTCCAAAGCGGCACACTTTGACGGTAGAATTGCCTAGGCTTTTCCCCCCTCTGCTGGGCTTCCTTTAATATTAACATTCGTGTCGGTTGCATTTAACAAACACCACACAATTCCCCGGTTTCCTCAGTTGCTAGGTCCTTCGACTCCGCCATTCCCTGGTCTCCTGCAGCCCCCGTGGGAGCACATTTGTAGTTTTTATCTCTGGAAAAGGTTCGGCTTCCGTGATTCGGAGCTGCCCGCTTTGACCACAGCTATATAACTCTCACGTCCTCACTTTCCTAGGCTCAAATCTCTGGACCCATTTTGGTCTTATTTGAGTTCTTACCCAGCCTAGACTACCCCATTCTGTCCCCCTTGCTTGTCTACTTGCTGGTCACTTAACAGACCAGGGTTGTTGCTTCCTGCCCCCACGTCCATTCCCCACCCACCTTCCCCAATTCCTGGGCCGACTTGTATTACTGGAAAAAATCACAGAACATGCTGGCTGAGCCCCAAGTTCCCTGACTGACTTCACTGCTGGGCTCTCAGTGCAGCCCAGCACTTTTATTGACTCCCTGTCACATCCCTCCAGGTAACTAACTCTTCAAATGTTTCCACTCATCAAGTCATTCCACCTGTCTCCATCTCCTTTCTGCAGAATGCCCCTCCTATTTTGTGAACTTGAGGTCAAGCATTTGAACCTCCTACTCATTCCCCCTCTGTCTGTCACCACACTTGATTCTTCCCACAAGAATTCCTTTCCACTTCAACTTTTTTTCTCTTGGACTCAAAGGAAGAAGTGTCACTCTTCCTTTATAAGACCAACACTTTGGGATATCTTCTTACCTCTCTTTTCCAGTTGCCTCTAGGACTACTTTGTGCATAATCTTCCCTCTTTTCCTTTCCTCTGTCTCCTCTCCCCTACTTGACAAACATGCTCAGGTCACCCGTATTTGAAAATATGTACAGCTTCCTTGACTTTGTCACCCTCTCAATTTCCTATCTGATCTTTAACCTTTCTCCCACTCAAGTCCATCCTTCATTGTGCACAGTTCCTGATCTACCAAAGTGCCCAACAAATACTTGTTGCATGAATGGATGAACCATTCAATTTATAATGTTCTTTTAAAGGGCACGATTTCCTTTGCTTCCAGGGGACTGCTTTATCCTTGTTCTGCTACTGTCTCTCTGATCTTTCTCTTTGTTTCATTGCCCCCCCCCCTTCTTTAAATGTACATGTTTCAGGGCGCCTGGGTTGCTTAGTGGGTTAAAGTCTCTGCCTTCAGCTCAGGTCATGATCCCAGGATCCTGGGATCAAGCCCCACATCGGGCTCTCTGCTCAGCGGGGAGCCTGCTTCCCCCTCTCTCTCTGCCTGCATTTCTGCCTACTTGTAATCTCTGTCAAACAAATAAATAAAATATTAAAAAAAAAGAAAAAAGGAAAAATATATGTGCATATTTCCTAAGAACCTAACTCAGCTTTTTTTTTTTTTCCAAAACAACGTCTGTCTTGAGAATGTCCATCCTTTTCATGGCTTCACTTTGCATTTCTGTGCAAAACACTAATAAATCTGTATTTCTGCTGCCACCACCACCACCACCCCTCCCATTTATAACTCTCTATGGGACATAAAAGCTTGTTCTATTGGCAGCTCGTATCGTACATCCTTTTCTTCTTGCCAGCTCCTCTTCCTAAGTAATTTTCTATCATTACTTCCATCATTGTCCTAGTAACTCAGATTCAAAGCCTGAGTCAGCCCTAACCTCTCCTCTCCTTCATGTCCAAAGTCCTGGCATTGGAGGGTTCCCTCCCCTGTTTTTAATCATCTCCTTTTTATTTTCTACTTCCTCACTCATCACTTCTTTGGCTCATGTCCTCTTTTTCTCAAGCCTAGGATATTACAGTAATTTCCTAATTCACCTTTTTTTTTTTTTTTACTCTCTCCCCTAAGGGGAATGCACTCCATCTTAAGGCCTAGTCATGTACTAACTCCACAATCACCCTCCTGTGATCACACCTCAGCTAGATGTGACCCCTCCTTTTTTTGTACTTAGATAACATTTGGTTTATATCCTTTGCATGACTCTCATCACACACTCCATTGCTTTTGTTTATTTGTGTACATGTGAGCTCCCTTATTAGACGGAAGTCACTGAGAGCAGAAACCAAGGCCTATCTTACTTTTTCAACAAAATATACCATACACAGTATCTTATACTAACATGCCCTTGATGTACATTAGTAAAACACATGAAGGCAAATATGGGCCAAGAAGAGAACAGGTATATCCCTGGGGAAGACCAATGCATTCATGGAAAAAGAACAAAGGCTCATCTCAGGTGAAAGCTCAAAATGCCCAGGAAACAGATATGCCTCTAGAGAGACAGACGTGTCCTGAAAGGAGAAGTCTGTCTCCGAGGATGAACAGATAGATTCTAGGAAGCATACAAATAAATACCTATGGAATGGATTGGCATGTCCCAGCAAATGGATATGCATGTCCTCAGAGAGGTAAATATTTCAGAAAGGAGGGAACGAAAAGTCCCTGAAGAGGCTCCAGGTGCCATAAAGAATAAACAGGTGTCTTTATGGAGAACGAAGTTGTTCTCTCGTATTTGTGATGATCTGGAAGAACTGGAGGTGAAGGTCCTCTGGCAAACAACTGTGCCTCACTGTCTGAGGAACATATAAGAGTGTCTATATATGAAATGATGAGTTCAGAGGCTATGTCCCTAGAAAAGTGGGAAGTGTCTTAGGGAAGTATCAGTATGGCTTAGGAAGCTGATAGAAGGATTCAGCTAAGAACTAGTGAGTGCTATGGAGATGACAGATGTCTGATCCCAGGGTCCAGTCTCCTCAGCCTTGAACTTCTTCCAGATCATGTCCATCTTCTGGCTGTTAGCTCTAGTGGACACCAGGGGGCAGTGTGCTGCCAGGCTGTAGGCCCCACCCGCAAGGGTCCAGGACAAAATAGGAGGAGGCCAGGGACCTGGAAGGGGAGTCCTGTGGTGGACTTAGTAAAGTCCCCACTGCCCTTGCCCTCAATCCTGAGGTCCTTAGGGATGGACTCTTTTTGGTCATATCACAGTTCCTATTCCCAGGCTGTGGGAGTAAACTGAGGCATGAAGAAGAGGGAAATTCAGAGCTCCTGGGTGGTCCCCCTTCCTCCTCACAAGAGTCACAGCAGAGATTCCACCCTTGCTCCCCCCCCACACACACCTCCCGAGCTGTTGTCCAGACCGGAAGGGAGTCTCTTTCCTGTATATTTCCTGGTGCTGGGTTTGGATATGGACAGGAAAGGCCCAGCCTTGGGAGGAAGCAGTGGGGGGGTGGGGGGAGGCTTCAGGTGGGGGGAGGGGGATAGTGGGGAGCAGGCAAGTGAACAAAACAGTGCTGCTATCCAGATTCTTCCAGCTCTGCTGCCCAGCCAGAGCTGTGCATGGCAGAAACTCTGGGATGGGGAGAGGACAGTACAAAAAAAAATTTATTTTGAAGATTACAGAACTTGTGCCATGACACCACTGGATTTCCATTTTCATCAGTCCAAGGAT